TTACAAAAATCTTTAGTTTAAAAGTAAAAAATAAAAAATGTATCAAAATGGCATCAAAACAAAATGGAGTAAGTATTGTCTACTATTTTTAGTTTTCATCAACTTTAAGTGTAGTTAAAGTTCACAATCAATAATGATCTCAATATGGAAAACTCTTCAGCAGTAATATAATAGGCTACTAGGCTAAAATTCATAAAATTAGAAATAGGTATTTTACAAACAAACAAGTTAACTGGGAGGCTAAGTACTGTCTCTATAGATGACAGATTTAAAAAAAATATATTTTACTGGCTTATGTGAGTACTGACAGACTTACTCAAGTCACTCTCTTACAAATTTCAAAAAATGCTAATTTTAAAGGGATGCAACAAGAATTTTCTGTTGTGGATCGGGCAACTGAAATAATAGGATATGCTAATCAAACACTGAAAATTTTTTAAGTATTCAAGATTGACATGTTTCTAATGGAAAAAAGGTGGCTGTAACTAAAAGACTAGTTTGGCTCATGAAGAGTATAAGGGATGAAATCAAAGAAAAGTATTATAAATCTAAGACATTTGAATATAATGCTACAATGAAAGGCTTAGAGAATTATAAAAAACTCCAAGAGTTATTCAAACAAGACATTAAGAAATCAAAAAGGACATGAAAATTGGTTGACTGAAAGTGTAGAAATTAACAGTACAACTGTATTTAAATACATTAAAAGGTAAGCATGATGTTAGGATGGAAGAAGAGTCTTTGAGGAATGATACATGAAGACTCATGAGATGGTTTGGTTACTAAATTTTACTTTTCTTCAAATTTTATTAAGGAAGATTTAAGCAATATTCCTAATCTTAAATAGTTACTTGATGGAAACAAGATTATCACATTACTTCTCAGCTTGTTAAGGAACAATTGAGAAGTTTAAATAATATTTCCAAAAAGGTTTTGAAGGAGGTTAATGATTGGATATATCAGCCATTTGCTACTATTTCTTGTAAGTTCTTCTTATTTGGTGAGTTAAGTGATTAAATGGAAGCTGGCTTTTAATTATAATAAATTCAAGGTAATGCCCATGAGTTATCATAAATTAACTTAAAAGTATAATTTTCACAGGTATAAATTTAACTATGTTACGAAAGAAAAGGATCTTGGTGTTTTGATTGATTAGTATCTTCAATCATCGAGCAGCGGGCTCTTACTAGTGGTAGAAGCAAATAGAATTTTAATTTGTATCCACACAAATACTGAATATATCTCTAAAGAGGTTATAATTTTATTGTTTTGGTCACTGGTTAGGACTCATTTGGAGTATTGTGCTTAATCTTGGGCCCACTTTAGGAAGAACATTGAACTGTTAGAGTTCAGAGGACGACTACTAGAATAATACCTGGAATGGCAAGATCGTCATACGAGGAGAGGTCAAGATCTCTGAAATTGTTTTCTTTTAAAAAAAAAAAGAATTAGAGAAGGTCTGACAGGTGTTTAAGATTGTTAAGGGAATTGATAGTATCAATACAATATCTTTTTTTTTTACATAAGTTAATGGTGAGAATGGTAGGACTAGGAACACAAATATAAATTTTGGCAAAATAAGATTATAAGTCATCTTCAGCTAAGACAGTTTTATTTTTCTAACAAGGCAGTTGGCCTTTGAAATGGGTTGCTTTCAGATGTGATGAATGCAGTAAGTTTAATGGAGTTTAAAAAAAGGCTCGATATATATTTAAATAATTAGGACTAGCTTTGAGTTTTTCTTTTTTTTAAAATTTAGTTTACTTTTACTGTTTGTTTACAGAATGGAATGACATACATAGACCAACAGCTCACTTACTGTCCTTATATTTTATGTTGTGCACATAACTTTTGCAACTAAGGTTAACCATTGAAGTTAACGTAACTTACAATACAAGATACATTGTTGTAAATACTTCAAAGTTTTGTTCGCTCAGTATAATAATTGTGAAATATTGTACTTACATTATTTAGAAGGACATCGTAAAATTCTGTTTTTAAATAATTTAAAAACATTATGTTTTAATATCGAATTCTATGTTTAAAATAAATTGGTTTAATTCAAATTTTACAAAGGAATTCACTTAGTTATGAAATAATAAACAATTATCGAATCAGACGAAACATCAAAATTCCCGCTTAACGTGTGATGGTGTCTCCCTCTTTTATCAGTATAGAAATGATTAAAAATTTAATATCTGTGTAAAAAAGAAAAAAGTTAAATTAGTGCATCGTAACGCTATCGCATATTAAATTCTAATTATGAAAATTAAAATATTTTAGTGACTGTAATATTTTGAGTAAAACCATTTAAATAGCTGATTAAACCTAACATTATTTATTTGTTACGTTTCTCAAAAAGCTACTAATAATATGTCAGTGGAATTTAAAGATTCTTTTGCATATAAAATTCGAAAGGAAAAAAGAAATTGCTAAAAATATTTAGTGTTAGAAAATAAACTAAAAAGGAAAAATCACACACAGTGTTTTCTGCAACTTCTGTACTAATATACCAATATAAATGAAATAAGAAACACTGCCAATTACTGAATGAGATTTTGTACTGCAAGTTTTGCAACATGTAAGTGTAACTTAAATGGATTTATATGGACAACGTGATCATAGGTTGTAATTAGAAAAAAATGTTAAATTTATTCTATAAAGATGTTATTTCGAGGTGTAAAAAACAGTAGCCAGAGAAAAATGTATTTCTTTTTTTGCGATTCGAAAGCGAAAAGGATAGACTGCGATTAATTTACTTGCGGAATTATTTAAAGAAAAAATAATTAGAAATGTTACAATTGTCGCAGAACTAATTCAAAAATATTGTTTTTAATATTATTGCTTTCTTAATATTATTATTATTTTTTATGGCTCAGCGATAATCTTAGGGGTTTACAATGCCAAAAAATTTTTATCGGTCCATATGGTGGGCACAGCATAGATAGCCCTTTGTGCAGCTTTTCGTAAACAAAATGAACAAACAGACGAAATAGTGTTTGTTCATTTATTGCTCAGCGGTAACTTTGACGATTTTTCATGATAAAAATTGGATTTCGATAATCGTGATGTGCACAGCACAGATAACGCAGTGTGTAGCTTTGTGCTTTATGACAAACAGACGTTCAAAAACTTGACCGAGTGCTCAGTTTATCATAACTAATTAATTATTCTATCCCGTTCTCTGATTGCAGCTTTTATACTGCTGCTCATTCATTATCATCGATTAATATTTTAAAACATTCTTGAAATAACACAATAAGTATTTTTCTAGCTATCACTGGGCGAAAATGGAATAAAATACGTTTTAAGCATAAACTTATGCATTCGCCGATTATCAGTTTATGATAACGATATTTCACGCTCATTTGGTCTTGATGATAAAATTAAGTGAAAACTTTAAAATTCAGGCTCCAAGGGACGATAAAAGATACTTGTATTTATGGTAAAGCTACTATCTGCCCTCGTCCCTAATTTTCAATAATTTACCCAAGGGAAGGTAGCCAGTCAGCACCACCATACCACCCATTATTCACTCTAAAGGATCAATTGTAACACATTCACAGCTTAAAGTGTGGGAAGTGTTTAACTGTATTACATAGATTCGAACCCGGCTCAACTGCTCCGAAATCCAAAATTCTATTACAGCACCACGCCGAGTAAAGTCTGAAGTAACTAAAATGTAAGGTCAGTACAACATGATCTCCCCTTTCGCCGTATTTCTGTATTATGTATACATGTACACAAATATAAGTACAAACAGTGTTTGGGAATAATTTGGTCCGCGTATCCCCAGTAAGCTTTTTCGTGTCATTGTTTAACAATCAGTTAATGTATTTTATATTTTCAAAACATATCTAACATATCATATGGAACTATTAAAGATGTATCTCGAAAGTAGACATTTGAGGTATTAATAAACGAACGGTATCATTCAAGTTAAAAAATAAGTGAAAGTACTGATTCATGCCTCGTGCCAAGCGTGACTTAATAGTTAGAGTGGTCGTTCGGTGAATGCGAAGATTCCTATTCAAGGCCTGTTACTGTAAAAACGCACTTCGCACTTTGGGGTAGTGGATAAACTGCAAGAGTAACCGTCAAATCCATTTATAGAATCAGCCAAGAGAAACTCAAGAATTGTTGATGGGTACTGTTGACTAGCAGTAGTTACCTTCCCTGTAGTTTATCAGTCCAATATTAGGGACGGTTACGCGTAGATGTAGCAGCAGTTACCTTCCCTGTAGTTTATCAGTCCAATATTAGGGACGCTTATGTATATACAGAATTCTTAATTTGAATATTAACGTTTGTTTATTAATATCTAAAATGTCTACGTTCGAGAAAAGCTCTAACAGTTTCATACTATATAAATAAATTAATTAATTAAATAAATAGAAATGTTTGATTGTTTTTTAATATTAAAAATACACATCTTGAAGTTTTTGGGGTAAAGCTAATCTTTAGATCCTCCCTCTGCTAGAACTAAAAAGATTGTGAAAGATTTACCTAGAAAATATTTTTTCTGGTTTTTGACAACATTTGCCAAGAACCAGTTGGTAAGGAGAATGTAACACACTATTTACTATAAATAATTCAGAACCGATAAAGGATCAAAGCATTTTTTTTGTTTCAGAATATTTTCGCAAAGCTACACAAAGGATTATATACGCATAACGAAAGCCTGCTTTGTCCCTTGTACCAGGCATGACTTAGTAGATAGAGTGCTCGGACTCTTAACTACTAATAAACTAATTAAGAAGTGTCCAGGAACTGAAGTCTCGAATAGATTCTAATAATTGATACAAAGAAACCAACTCAGCCCTGTTGAGGTTCTTAAGAGGAAATACTGAATGTTTCATTGTTTTCAAACAGCTAAAATGGCACCGATCGTCAATTTTCTTGATAGATTTTGCCATGAAACTTAATCACATAGTTGTGTATCAGTTCAGAAAACGCTCCCTCCTACCATGAACGTTTTTTATGGCTCACCCTATGAACTTCTGAACCTGATGTAATTGAGATAGGTGGTGTTTATACATCCAGATAGATGTTTGTATATGAAAAATATAAACAAGAACGATTTTTCCTAAGCTGATGACACGGGTTACAGAAGAGCCATTAGACGTCTATCAAGGAAAGTTTACACCAAAAAGAACAACGATATCGTGTAGTACATGCATTAAATGTAAGCATTATTCGTCACTTATTAATATTTAAACAAAACTTAAGCCAACTGGATGAAATTTCAATTCATTCTCCAGTGTGTATCTGGTAGGTTAAAGCCGAATTAATGCATTTTATTTTATTTATTTCTTTACCTATGGGTGAATTTGTTTGTTTTGTTGGTAAGCGCAAAGTTGAATAATGGGCTATCTTTGCCGTACCCACCACGAGTATCGAAACCCTGTTTTTATCTGAGTGTTATAAGCCTTCAGACTTGCCGCTGAGCCACTAGGAGGAGGGACTGTAAATGAATAAATATACATATAGAATCAGAAATATGAATGCTTTTTTTTTGTCTTCAGTAAAGAAAAACAAAAAACAACAACAAAAAAACCGAGTCCCGTTTTATTGATTCGTTATGTATATTGAATCGATAAAATATTTTCGTTAAGACATTTTCACACTTTTGTTATTTTTGTCTAGTTGTTCAATTACTAATAACCTTGATTATTCAACTCATTAGCTTTCAATCTTGCAGCAGTGTACTTAAATGACTTGGTTTCTTGTCACTAGACTCCGCAAAGCGTAATGCAACAACCAGGAAAAAAAATGTTATTTAATATGATATTTTAAATTTTCTTTCTGCAGTGGAAGCTTTAAAAACGACTACGCATCAGCAATGAGCTGACGTCTTATTCATTAAAACTTTCATGGAATAAAATATTCAGATTACATATATTTATCATATTATGCATGGTATCTATGGCAACTACTTGTTGAAGAAGCCGAGAACAACACGAAAGATAAACAAACAACGAGAGAACCAGACGACAGAATGACATATCAAAACACGCGGTGAGTTTTACTTGTCACGCCCTCTACATGAAACCCATAAGATGGTTTTCTTTAAATAACCAGCTTGATTTATAACTGGCAAAAGTTTGATTCATATAAGCATCTACATTTATTATATTACAAGTTACAGCTTTTACAGTAAGTACGATTTGTTTTTAGAACAGGTAACAACGTTACGATCACTGGTACGATCATTCTCAAGTACACGAGTTTGTTCTGAAAATAAATCTTACTTACTGTAAAAGCTGTAACTTGTAATACAATTTACTTAATCATTAAGTAAACTCAAAACAAAACTAAGCATCTATATTGTTACTTCTTGCAGTTACTAATAAGTACAGTACATGAGTAGAGTTCATTTATAAGGCCTCCTATAATGGCAAAAACCAAACGTCATGTACTAGTTAGAGCCAAGTGAGATGTAACTCTGCAACCAGACTAACTGAAAAACAAAAACTGCTCTAATCAAATAATTTAAATTTTTAGCCGCCGCATAGCGGCTCATAGAATAGCTCTGAGATTTTTTGTTTTGTTTTTCAAGTATAAACTTTTAGCTCATAGCTCCGTCATCTCTTGACCGATTTGAGATCTAATTATAGTTTTGGACTCAGGTGGTCAAACCCTTTCGATTGATGAAATTAACTATGCCCTAGGTTTCATAGATAAATTTACTCCAATCCTGCCTAAAATAACTTTAATTTGAGGATAGGCTAGTAGAGATTCTGATGAGTAATAAAATCGAATCAGGTATACACGCGCCTCGCGCTTGGTATTGCTGGCGTACAAAATATAGCTAACAAAAAGGGAGGGGGAAAGTCTCATAGATTAATTTACTCTAATCCTGCCTAAAAGAATTTCAAGTGCAATGGCTATGAGGATTCCCTCTTGTGTAATGCTGCCTAACCCTGTTTTGTAACACAAGTACGCACTTAACTTAGATTTCTAAAAAGCTGTTAAGCCTTTTTTGCCACAAGCTAATGAACGTTATATACTTTGTCAGAACAAATGAAAACTTAGATATATTACAAACTTT